CAAATTTTACCCAAATATTACTTGATACACAAATAAAGATTTACGATTTGATATCCAAATTTTTCCACGTCCCTGCTACGTAGGAATTCCAAGTCCACTTAAATTCCATTCCTACTTACAACATATAGACGTAGTTCAGTAGTTAAAATTACATATGTACTGTACGTATTTACTATCTATACATAATTACATAATTATTTTAACATACGTAGCACATAATTATATCATTAACTCGTGAGTTAAATTTTTATGAAACATCCCGAGTATTTGTCATCGACATCATGAAACATCCCGAATCAGTCGATATCATACATCATTGTAGCCGCGCCACAATACTGCATAATATCGAGACTGATCTGTAATGTCTATGATAAAACGTGTAATAATAATTTGCCAGTCATTCAAAAATATTATTTTTGATCTATGAATTAAATACGAAACAAATATTTAGTTTTCTACATCATAAAGATTATTTTAAACAATAAGATGCAGTCTGGCAAATTACTATAGTGCTTTAAATCCTGATTTTGTGTTAGAATTAATACAGTAATGATTGATAATATTAAAAGACTGTTAATTAAAATATATATATGTGGATTTTAGCAGGGCTTATATTCTCAAATCGAAACCCAGATTTCTGCATTAAGCATCAGCCGCGACGATAATTTAAACTCGGATCGTGAAATTCAATAAGAATTGTGTCTAAATTAATCTTGGTCAGTCAATTTAAAATAAACCCGATTTACGTAAATGTTAGATATTTATAATTACAGTCAACCCTCTCTAAGTGCATAGTCTAGGACCGATAAAACTCTTGCATTTAAAGAGTTTTGCATTTAGGGAGGTAAAAATCTATAAGTATTATATATATTAGGGCCAAGACAGAGCCATGCATTTATAGAGTCTATGCATTTATGGAGGTTGCATTTAGAGAGGTCCGACTGTATTAAAGAAACAAAAAAAAAGCATAGAATAAATCAGATCCTCTTAAAAAACGATACCATTCAACATTTTTCAATCTTATTGTATTATTAAATTTCTAACCCTAAAGCTGTAAAAGAACGTTAATATAAATTATGTAGTTAGTTGGATAATTAATTCAAATCAGTCAATCAAATAAAGAGCGTAGAGAATGTAAAAATTATATTTTTAATGATTCGGTTTACTTTTTTGATACATTTGTATAAACTTTATCAAGATCATATCAGGAACGCGACTTGGGTATTTATCGCCTAATTAAAAAGTTCCTGACACGTGGTGACGACAAAAATACTTAAAATTCATTAAGGTTAGGGTTAACTAGGTCTTAACAAGAATATAATAGTAAAATCGCTCAAGGGGACCTTTTTGTTAGTGTACTTAAGGCGATTTCCTCTACAGATTTTTGAGTTGAGCCAAACGAACGTTTGTTTTGATCGTGCTACGTCATATTTGATCTTGAATTATGAGCGGTTTGCGCCACGAAATTATCACGTGCCTTCGACTTTTTGGCCAATCAGCAAAAATCAAAACAATCAAAATTTCGAGTTATCAGTGAGTTTTTTCACACCATTTTTCACACCGTTTTTCATACTTCGTTTTTTCACACTTTGGCTTTTTACACCGTTTTCACACTTCATTTTTTTACACCGTTTTTCACACTTCGTTTTTTTACACCGTTTTTCACACTTCGTTTTCATTTTCTTTATTAGGTTTTATGATATTATATATAACCGCTTTTTTTAAGAAGTATTTTTACCGGAAACGACGAGACGACGAGACAACGATCGCTTTTCGAAAAAATATCTTTACTAGAGATGACGGGACGACAACCAAGAAAGGTCAGTATTTCGGTATTTTGTTTGTTGGAACTAGATATTGCGGGGGAAGCTGTTCGTCTTATGCGTAAGGCGTGACTAGTTTCTAGGTATATCTAGCGAAAACATAAGGTTGTTACCGCTCATAAAGGACTACTGATTCAAAGGTAAATCAGTTAAGAATCTTATGATGTAACAATTAACCTTGGATCTTATGCGTTGCCCATTATTGCCCATGGATCGACTGAGAGTTGGTGAAAGCGATACCGGTGGCGTACTAAAGAACCACATTATATTTGACGTATTTGATTATAATTTATTAATTTTTTTCCTTTTTTTTTTTTTTTTTTTTTTTTACAATAGGCTGATAATTTCCTGCGGCGATAAATATCGTTTCCATTCGCGACAACACCTTAATCAACGTAGTGAGAAATATTTTAGTGTGTTTGTTATTGTGATGAATATTTAATGATGATTGTAATTTGATAAGGTTTATTACATAAATAAAAATATTTTATTAGTAAAAAAACGTTGAGTTTGTTATTTCAATTTACAAACTTTTTTTCGCAACTATCTTTTTTTACTCGATATTAATTGAGTAGTACTAAAAGTATTTATAAAAAATAAAATTACAAATATATATAGATGGGTGCCTAAATTATTTTTGCATTGGCGTAAATTTAAATGGCTAAATTCTTTTAGATTGTCTAAATCGTA